CCTGATCACGTACTCTTGTATTGTCTTTTTCTCCTTCCTTTTTTGACAGATATTAACTCATTGTCATCAATGTAATGAGTAGCTTCAGTATTTGAATTATTTAAATCTTGCTTTATCGGCTTATGATATATTGTTAGGGAATTTAAATATCTCAATGGCAGGACAGTAAAATTCTTGGTGTGTTGACTGAAGTTAAAATTTACTCTGCTATTAGTGAATCAATTTAATGGGCATAGAAAAAAAGTGTTTAGCTAGACCAATAGCTGCATGTCAGTCATGGGGTGATATCAGAAGATCTTTCAATATAGAAACAAAGTCAAGCACAGAACTAGCTACAGTTGACAGCCCTTCATTAACTTTTCTGTAATATCTATAATAGTTAACTTCCAGGATCTGGTTTTCTGACCAGCCAAACCAAGGAATCGGTAGAGAGCTTTGGGACAGATAATCCCCAGGTCCCCCAGCTTCTCCATCATGGCTGTAATTTGCCTCACTGCTTTACATTTACAGTTCTGTGGTAGTGGGGCACTCCAGGGGTTTCCACTGAGTACATCCACTGACAGCACCCTGCACTCTTCCTGCTTTGCCCATTCTAATAAAACATCTTCCTCCCTTCAAAATCATAATAAATAGATTCTAGTATCCCCATCGGGAGTCCCTGAATGGTGCAAATGGTTAAGCGCTCAGCTACTAACTCAAATTTTGGTGGTTCAAATCCACCCAGAGGCACCTTAGGTTCTGGCAATCTACTTCTGAAAGGATATAGCCATGGAAAACCCTATGGATCGCAGTTCTACTCTGATACATATTGGGTCGCCATGAGTTGGCATCGATCACCAGCAACTGTTTTTTGTTTTGTTTTTTAATACACCAATCAGGAGGTGAAATGATGATAGGAAATATCTTTGATCTTTCACTAACTGGCAACCATGGATACTTCCTCCTCCACATCCCTGTTAGGTTGTTCAAGGTTTATTAAATAACAACAAGTCTTCCCTCAACTTAAGTTCTGATCAGACACAAGAGACACAAAGGAGTCAGGCACCCAGAGATCAAAACATCAGCTGTTTTGAGAGCAGTTGAAGAACATGTCCGAGGCTACAGTGGTCACAGGCTTTCCAGGCCTGAACCCCACCCAGTCACAGGTCCTACTTGAAGCAGAAGACTGCCTCTTGCAGGAGCGGAGCGCCTGTCACACAACTAAGAGTAAGTATCACCACTCCCCCATACCAAAATAACTCCCTTTACCTTTTACTTCTAAAGGCTCCTGCTTATTAAAAACTGGACTGTCCAATACGGTAGCCCCTAGCCACATGTGGTCACTGAGCGCTTGAAATGTGGCTAGTCCAAATTGAGATGTAAGTGTAAAATACTAGATTTTGAGGACTTTGTACAAAAACGAATGTAAAATATCTCAATAATTTTTCTATTGTGTACACGTTGAATATTTTAGATTTATTGGATGAAATAAATTATTAAAATAATTATTTCTGTTTCTTTTTACTTTTGAAAATCTTGGCCTGCATTATATTTCTATTGGATATTAACCAGTTGCCATTGACTCCAACTCATGGTGACTCCATGTGTCAGAGAACTGTGTTCCATAGGGTTTTCAATGGCTGATTTTTCAGAAGTAGACCACCACGGCTTTCTTCCAAGATGCCTCCGGGTGAACTCAAACTTCCAACCTTTTGGTTAGCAGGCAAGCACGTTTGCACCACACAGGCACTCAGCTGATCCAAAATACCTGGACTCAAGTATGTTGTTGCTGTTATGTGCTGTCGAGTCGATTCTGATTTACAGTGACCCTACAAAACAGAGTAGAACTACTCCATAGGGTTTCTCTGGGCTGTAATCTTTATGAGAGCAGAGCGCCAGGTCTTCTCTCCTGTGGAGCCGCTGGTGGGTTTGAACCACCGACCTTTCAATTAGCAGCTGAAAGCTTAACCATTGTGCCACCAGGGTTTATGGCTTAGCATCTCTCCACACTGATCTGGTATTTAATGGGTCTGGAGGAGAACAGTGTTACAGAATTTTCCAGGGCCAGTGCTGTGTCCTTACACCCCCACATTGGTGCCATATGATCTTCATGCTTCTACCATCAGTATAAGCAAATATGTAAATTTCCTCAGTACATTCAATCCCTTGTAAATGCATACTCAGAGAAGCAGCCTTACTGGGGTCCCATTAGCCCCAACTCAACACGGTCTACTTTGACTTCTTTCTACCTTTCTACCACAGGAGTCTTGCCTCAATAATATATACCACTTAGGAATCTGACATCCATTGCAGTCCTCCTGAGGAAGACTCCTTAGACTCCCTGAGGAACCATGGTTCTGGCTTTTTAATGTCCAATGACTGGTACCTGAGCGTCTTGCTCCTGAGGCTCCTTCTTCACCCTTGTGTTATTATGTAAGACCTGCAGAGGGGTTTAATCTATTCTTTGAAGCCCAAGCCTCAGAAAGAGTAAGGAGGAAGAGCTGAGCTCAGAGCATAGCTGGCCAACATCTTGACATCCTTTAACACCCAAGAAAAATTTCTAGGATAGTCCCACCAATTCTCTTTCCCAGGCTTCAGTGTCCAGATCTTGATACTATTCTCTCCATCTTAGTTCTCTAGTGTTGCCAATTCTTCTCTTTGAAGACGTGACTTGTGGATTGCCTGTTATTTTTTCTAGTAAATAACCAATTTCTCAAAATTTGTTGTTGTTAGTTGCTGTCAAGTCGATTCAGACTCATAGTGACGCCATGTGTTCAGATTAGAACCGCGCTCCATAGGGTTTTCAAAGCTGTGAAGGAGACTGCCAGGCCTGTCTTCTGAAGCACCACTGGGTGGGTTCGAATTGCTAACCGTTTGGCTAGTAGTTGAGCGCTTATCTGTTTGCGCCAAACAGGGACTCCGTCTTAAAATTCAGACAGGGCTTATTTAGCATTAAAGAGAGTATTAGTCATTCCTTCCAGGCAACTTTTAGTCTTGGGCTAGACCCCCACAACATTATCGAGTCTTTTCACTTACATCATTTCTTAAGAATGCTGGCACAGTTCCATTCTGGTTCCAAAATCTGATTCTCCTAATGGCCGTTAGGAGCTGTGGTGGCGCAGTGGTTAAGAGCTACAGCTGCTAATCATTAAGCTTGGCAGTTCAAATCCACCAGCAGCTCTTTGGAAACCCTATGGGGCAGTTCTACCTCGTCCCATAGGGTTGCCACGAGTCGGAATCGACTCAACGGCAATGGGTTTGGATTTTTTTTTTTGTTTGTTTGTTTAATGGTCATTAGGAGCCCTGGTAGCACAGTGGTTAAGAGCTTGGCTGCTAACCAAAAGGTCTGCAGTTTGAATTCACCAACTGCTCCTTGGAAACCCTAAGGGGCAGTTCTACTCTGTCCTATAAGGTCGTTATGAGTTGGAATCAACTCGATGGCATGAGTTTGGTTTTTGTTTTTTTAAACAGCCATTACCAAAATGAAAAAAACCAAGCCTGTTTCAGTCCAGTCACTTTCGACTCATAGCAACTCTATAGGACAGGGTAGAACTGCCTCATAGGGCTTCCAAGGAGAGCCTGGTGGATTCGAATTGCCGACCTTTTGGTTCACAGCCATGGCCCTTAACCACTATGCCACCAGGGTTTCATCATGGCCATTAGGTGAAGACAAAACCTCAAAATTTAAGGCTTCCATTAATGCATGCTATATTGGGAGATATCAATTAAAAGTAAAATGGCCTTTCCTCAGCATTTTTAGCAGGAGACTAAACAGTATTCCTTTTTTAAAAAAATGCTCTGCAGATCACCAGGTTTCAAAAGGAAACATAGGGAGAACTATCAAACTTATGTACTAACTCTGTTTTGCACAATTATTGCTGTACTCAAGCCTGCTAGAATTCTGAATTTGTTCTAGTCTCACCTTGCTGACAATGACAAAATGTCTTAGGGAAATACTTGACTCTATTTTTGACAAGACAATGAAGATTCAGAACTCTAAGAGACAGTCACCAGTCAAAGTTTGTCAATAATCTTAGATTCTACTTGATAATTTAAAAATATCAGATATTATCCACACTGATAAATTCTGCACTCTGCTATTTTTCAAGTTGCTTCAAAAATTCACACATGGAAAGTACTCTTCCCTATTACTCATCTGCTCTTGAGAGGTGGACAAACATTAATAGGGTTGTTATGGGGTGGGGAGAGGTGGGTCTGCCAATCCAGCTTCTTGAATCCAGCTTTAACTCCCAGGAGAAATGCATCTTGGTCCACTGGGATTCATGCAGGGCAAGCTAGGTTCCAGACAGCCCTTCAGAATCAAGTCCTCTTCAGGGCTTCATCTTACAGGGTCAAGGTCATCCAGTGCCTGAGCTTTAATAAAATAAAAATACAGGGCTCAGCCCAGAGTATAAAAGTTTTGGGCACCAGGAGGTAAAGTTCAGCAATGTAGGATGATGGTAAGACAGACCTTAAATATTCAGAGAAGTTTTCATTTAACAAGGAGCTATTTTAGGTCCTGAGTAAGGCAATGATGGGCAGGAAGGGGTCATGTGGAAAGACTCCAAACAGTAATACGCAAAATGTAACGGTGGCAGAGACTATTTGGGTTCACCAAATATTTAGGTGCTTGTTTACTTTCCTAGTATCCAGTGCTGTGTTCTGGCCATGAGACATGGCCAGAAGTGATGAAAGCCTGGCCTTTAACAACATCCCACAAAATCCTTCAGCTTCTTCCACGATGGTCTTGGAGGCCACATGTTCTAAATGATGACCTTGGAGGCCACATATTCTAAGTGATGACCTTGAAGGCCACGTGTTCTAAGTGATGACTTTGGAGGCCACAAGTTGTGATGACCTTGGATGCCACACGTTCTAAGTGATGACCTGGGAGGCCACATGTTCGAAGTGACGACCTTGGAGGCCACATGTTCTAAGTGATGAGGGTGGAATAAGTCAGATTGACCCATGCAGACTTTATGTAAGAAATTTTGTCTATTTGGGGGTTTGTTACTGGCCATTGCTTAGTGTATTCTTCTTCAGCAATGAAGAGGAAAGAACTCGAATTAGGAAGTGACTACTAAAGTAATGTGAGCCTAGGAGGATAAAGGTATAGACTAGGCTGTGAAAATTCAGAGAAAGGATGCAAATCTGAAAGTTGTTCTGAAGAGAGAGAACTTGGGAAATAGAAAAGTCATTAGTTCAGATAAATATTTATTGAGCACCTATTGCATGTAAGGCACTGTGTGAGATACAAAGACATATAAGTCACACCTCCAAGTGCTTACAATCTAGTTGAGGAGATAATACATGTACACAAATTATAATATTAAATCTTATAGCATGATGGTAAAGAGAATGGACTTTGAAGGTACACCTGTATTCAAGACCCGGTTTCACATTTTACTAGCTCTGTCACTTTGGGCAAGTTATTTAACCTCTCTAAACTTCACTTTACTCACCTGTAGAATAAGTGTAATAATAAAAATCCAAACCAGTTGCCATTGAGTTGATTTCAACTCTTGGAGACTCCATGCATTACAAAAGAGAACTGCTCTCCATAGGATTTTAAAGGCTGTCACTTTTTGGAAGCAGATCACCAGGCCTTTCTTCCAAGGCGCCTCTAGGTGGGTTCCAACTGCCAACCTTTCAGTTAGTAGTTGAGCACTTCACTATTTGCACCACCCAGAAACTTCCTGAGGACAGTAACAGTACCTACTTAATAAGGTGTTTGAGAAGATGGAAGAAACTATTCCTTGTAAAACTTTGAGTTGAGTGCTTATTCTGTAATAAGCTCTCAGTAAGTGCTATTATTAGTAGTAGTATTAAGATATCTAAAAGCTGGGACACAAAATAACAAGGTCAGTGCCCTAAAAAGCTCCTAGAGGGACTAACAGCTATAAAAAAGAACTGTACTAGAAGCAACAGTGCTGCTCTGGTATCATTTCACCTTTTCCCTCCTGTTGTAGCCTCCAGTTATTTAAAGTGCAGTGATACCTGGGGCCTTAGTTCCCATGTTCAGACAAGAAATGTGTCTGAGTATCTCCTCCAAACATTTATCCTACTGTCTGACAAACTTCTTAAAAATTTTGGATCTTTAGAGTTATATCCTAATTTCAGGCATTCCACATCAGTTCTATAAGACAGTAAGTATAGAGTGTTTATTCAAACACTCTGGTAACAGAGGCAGCAGGGGAGAATAGTAGCCAGAATGGATGGAACAATCACATGATGAACTTAAGGTAGGGAAGACCTATCTTAAGATTTTATGGCAGTCCTTTTCTCTAAAGCTTTAATACAATTCAGTCTATTCCCTGTTTAGCATAACGTCGTTGATGTTGAATAACTGATGATTTAGAACTGAAAACTTTCCCACACACACCACATTCAAAGGGCTTCTCTCCTGTATGAACTCTCTGATGTCGAGTAAGCCGACATCTCTGGCTAAAGGCTTTCCCACATTCACTGCACTCATATGGCTTGTCTCCAGTATGAATTTTCTGATGCTGAGTAAGGGGTGAGCGGTCAAAGAAAGCTTTCCCACACTCATTACACTGATAGCGAGGTTCCCCAGTGTGAGCTTTCTGATGTCTGTTCAGTGATGAGATGCCATAGAAGGCTTTCCCACACTCATTACATTCATAAGGCTTCCTACCAGTATGGATTAGCTTATGTCGAGTAAGGATGCTTTTCTGGCTAAAGGCCTTCCCACACTGATTACATTCATAAGGACTTTCTCCAGTATGAATTCTCTGGTGTCGAGTAAGGGACGAACGGTCAAAGAAGGCTTTTCCACACTCGCTGCACTTAAAGGGCTTCTCTCCAGTATGGATTCGCTGATGTACAGTTAGGGATGAACGGTCAAAGAAGGCTTTCCCACACACGTTGCATTCATAGGGGCTCTCCCCAGTGTGAGACATCCGGTGTCTACTGAGACTGCTCCTGTGACTGAAGACTTTCCCACACTCATGACATTCATAGGGCTTCTCTCCAGTGTGAGTTCTCTGGTGGCGGATAAGGGATGAGTGGTCAAAAAAGGTCTTCCCACAGTCACGGCATTCTTGGTCTCTCTCTTTAGTGAAAATTTTCTTGGGAGGGATTGAACCTTGCTGCAAGATTTTCTCCTGGGAAAAGAATTTCTTGCAAGTCTCCACTGCAGGGTTTTCCTTCTCTGTTTCCAACCTATCCTCTGGTACATGAACTTCAAATTTAGGACACAGAGGACCTTTACTTCCAAGCCTTTCCCTCAATGTTCCTTTGGAGATTTCTTCTTCGGAAGTATCTTGAATCTCAGGCTTAGTCTCCCCATCTGAAACAAATGGAAAACACAGATTCAGTTTCTTTCCCAGGCTAAAAAAAGAGAAATATTACAGTGGAAAGAGAGATATTATGATAAATCTCTAAGTAATATATGGGCACTGCATTGTTTGCTCTCATAAATGGTCTTACACTCTAGGGGAAGACAAACTGGGGAACGAGGAAGTCAGGGAATAGAACTGATGGCAGACATCTCAGAAAATAGGATATCCATTGGGAGCATGGCCAGGATAATTAGAAGAGTATGCTCAATGGAAAGGCTGGCAATAAATGGAAATACCAAAGTGTGAATGGGCAACATGACACATCTGAGAAAATGAACATTTGGTGAATATAGATGAATAATACTTTAATATGTAGGGGGAAAAATGAAAGCTAAGCAACCACGAAAGCAGAAGTTTTCATTTGAGAAAAAGCTGATACCCAACATTCCCCCCACACACCCAAATAACCACCACAAAACACCACAGAATTCTGTCCTGCCCTGTTCACACTCAATTACCTAGAGAGATGTTCTCTGGACATTCTCTCTCCTCAGATCCACGAAGATCAACTATCCATGCCTCTTCCCCTCTCTTCAACTGAAAAATCACATCAGGTTGAGGAACTGGAAGTCCTGCTCATGGAAAAGAAACAAGCCATGGCAGCAGTATGTGATAAAAGTACATCACTGTTCCAAAGCTTAATCCCGGCCTCTTAGTCTTTCAGAGAGAAAACGCAAAAGGCAGAACATGCGTGTCAGGGATGCAGAGTATAAACTGCAGGAGCCTCTGAATGGAAGTCAAGACTGAGGTTCTTGAATATGAGAACTTTGCCCCCAGAACAAGTAGCACTTGGTCAGAAAGTTAATAACAACCATTTGAATGAATGTGCTTATTCTATCACTTGAAGTGAATGGGAAGCTCCCATCTTAGCACTGGTAGGATGGGGGAAGGAGTTCTTGGCTCAGAGAAGGTGAGAATGAAAAAAATCATCTTGAGCAAAAAAGATGTGTAATGAAAATGCCTGTTTCTGTCTGTTTGTTTATCCTTTAGTATTACGTTTTTATTTAAACATGTAAGTCACGTTCATTGTAGAAAAATTAGAGATAAGTACAAGTAAAAAGAAAAATCACTTTTCAAACTCGGTAATCATTTTTTTCATTCTATTCATCTTGGTATGTGTAAACTTGATTTTTTTCACATAATAATAAATGAAAAACATTATTTCAATTAGCACAGATATACTTCACCATTTTAATGGCTACATGATATTACATTGTACGGAATAACAATTTGTTTAACCAATCCCCGGCTAACAGATACTTAGATTGTTTTTAATGTTTTGCTATTATCAAACAATGGTATCATGCAAATCTGTATATGCTGGTTGCTAATCTTATTTTTTCCTTAGGATAAATTCCTAGAAGTGAAGCTATCCAGTTTTGCTTATATGAAAAACAGACCCCCCTCCTCGAAATAGACTTGGAGTCTAAACTTCCCTTGTATCAGGGTCCTTACTTGGGAAAGGAAAGGCACTTTTTTCCCCTAAATTTTATTTATTTTGTTGTAGTTGTTGAGAATATACACAGCAAAACACACCAATTCAACAGTTTCTACATGTACAATTTAGTGATACTGATACATTCTTCAAATTGTGCAACCATTCTCACCCTCTTTTTCTGAGTTGTTCCTTCCTCATTAACATAAACTCACTGCCTCCCCCCCCCCACCAAGTTCCTATCTAATCAGAAAGGCACTTTCTTATTGGACCCAAGGGTTACTTATCTGGTCATATGCTAACCCCGGCTGATGAATCAGACACATCTATTTCCTCCCATGGCTTTGTCTCTGACCTTAGGAATTCTATTTTCGCCAGTACTTCATCACCCAAAGCTTGTGGCAAAGGCTCAGTAGTCTCCTTTAATGTCTCCTGAAAATTCTGTTCTGTTTTTCATATTTGACCTGTTTAAGCTAATTCAGGAGTGTTAACACTTGCTTTTTTGACCTGCCTTTTAAGAGATCTGCAGTGTGACTCTTTTTATTGCCATCTGCTGCTTATTTTAAGCTGCTTCCAAATCTGTGCACTCTTTCAGGCTCTTTTTGAAGCTCTTGAACGTTCTTATTACCTACAGGAGCCCAATTTTCTCACCAACAGCTGATATCAGCAGCAGCACTTTATTTTCCCTTTGTCACACAGGCTCTATCGCTGCAAAGGGCCTTCTGTGGCCATCTCAGACTGTACTTAAGACAAATATTCAAAACCAGATGCATCTCTGGTGAACACAGATGGATAATACTTTTAATATGCAGGGAGAAAATGAAAGCTGGTGAGTGATGTAAAATAAACAACCACTAAAGCAGATTTAAATTTGAGAAAAATGTGATACCCAATATTCCCACACATACATTCAAATAACAAACATAAAACAACACAGACTCACAACCCTGTATTCCCATCCCCCAACCCCTCTTTTAAGGGGAAATACTTCTTTCCTCCCTCCTCTGGCTCCTATGAGGAGAAGTTTTCCCTCAATAAGATGGGCCCAGACCCTACTGGGCCTGTGCATCTTGGCCTCCACTCCTCCCCACTCTTGAGCATCAGCTCCCTGCATCCAGCACACATTCTGCTCTACTCCTTTGGGCCTGCATGTTGCAGGGACCGGCTGCTGAACGAGGGAGCCTGTGAGTGTCCAGCCTGTCTATGGCTGGGTGAGCAAGTCTGCCCAATGCTAAGTTGATGTACACCTAAGCCACACTCTTCTATTCTTTTATCTTGTCTCTCAGTTGGTTCAGAGCTCAGGGGAGGGGAGAAGAGGCATTAGTTTATTAGGCCTTAACCCCAGATTAACATAATACAGATTCTAACTCCTTACCCAAAGAGACAATGCTCCTGTAGTTCTCCAGCATCACTTCCTTGTAGAGGTCCCTCTGAATGGGTACCAGGTGCCTCCACTCCTCCTCTGTGAAGATCACGGCCACATCCTCAAATGTCACTGGTTCCTGAAAGCATAATCACATTCTCCCTTACTCATAACCTTTCCCCTCACGTGGACCAGATGAATAAACAAAAATGACAGCCCAGGAGGATGTGGAGGGGATAGAAAGGAAATGGTTCTGGCAATACACAGTTTTGAAACATATGGGGAAAGTGGTATAATCACTTGAAGCATGACATTCTTCTCGTAATTCCACACCACGGGACTCACAGCTAAGCCCCTAGATATCAGGGGCCCTTTTTTCAGACTTAGAGAAAACTTACAAGAACAGAACAAAGAATTCCTGTGTACCCTTCATCCAGCTTCCTCAAATGTTAACTTTTTCCACATCTGCTTTACCTTCTGCCTCTCTCTATATACACATCTCCAATTTTTTTCCCTGAACCTTTGAGAGTAAGTTGCAAACCTGATGCCCCTTAATTCCTAAATGTTTCAGTGTATATTTTGTAAAAACAGGGGCATTCTCTTATATAACCACAGTATAATTATAAAAATCAAAAAAATAAAGTTGCTATAGCGTCGCTATGAGTCAGAATTGACTTGATGGCACACAACATCACACTATTATATAATCTACAATCATATTCAAATTTCACCAGTTATCTTTTTTTTTTAAAACCAATTCTTAAATAACGATGTTGGATTAGATCATCTTTAGGCTCCATTTCAGTCTAATGTTCTGTGATTCTATAAGATTCTATAAGACTGCATCTTTACCCCGAGTCCTAAAACCCTAGATGAGTCTAAGCCAGACTGTGGAATTCAAGACTTTCTGTCCTTGGCAGGAATGGGTCAAGCCACATATCTCTATCCACATAAGACCTTGAGGACTCTTGTAACCTTGCTGAAGTGCAGTATGTATCACATCTCCAGCCTAACCCAACATTCCCTGGAACACTGGGGCCTATTCTCAGGCCATACACGGACATACTGAAAGGAGTCAGGACCACCACTAGCCCACTGATCCCCAGACCTTCCAATGAGACCCATGCCATTGGTTTTTAGGCAAAACCATTCAAAGCCAAGGCCTCAGGAGCTGTGGGCGTGGTGACAGGCTAATGGGCACATGTTCAAGGCAAGAAAAGGCCACTAAAGGATGCTACAATTCAAAGGGGAAGGAAGTACTCCCCATGGAGTCCTTCATCTACCTGGCTGAGTTAAAGAAGCTCCAAGATGGGGAAAGAAAAGTGCTCAAAAGTCTACCTCACCTGGTGTCTGGCAGTTGGAGACACAGCAGCCATTCCCTCCTGTGGGCTCTCCTTTTAGAAAAGGCAGGGTCCTGATGAGGCAGAATGGTGCGGGGAGAAAGATGGTGAGACCAGTCCTGCTCTGTAGTTTTCTGACCCTCGAAACAAGAAACCTCCATGTACCAGTGAGTTAACGCATGCATCCTCACACTCAGTACCCTACAGAAACGGAGGGAAAATAAAGCGAGCCCAGAGGCAACCCCACCCCATCCCAGAATTAGAGCAGAAGGCCATGGATATTGCTATTTAGGATACACATGGTACTTGTTTTAGCATGATCCCAGAGGCAGAATTCTGTCCCTAGGAGTCAAGAACATATTAAAGTTCATACTGTATTTATAAATTCACATTCAACATGTCCTGAGTGATTACAGGTATCCCCAAAGTTTCAAAAGTTCGCTTTACACCACTTCGCTTTTACGAAACACTCGCATTAGAACCTATTTTTGTTAAACGAAAGAAATCCAAAGAGGAATTTTGCTTTTACAAAAAGCGAAAAGTGGAAACAGTGTTCAGCGTTAGCTTTGCAGCGAGCCGCTGAAGAGGCAGCATGCACCCAAGCAGTGGGAGTGGCGTTGTCAAGCTCCTTCTCCCAGAACCACATCAGCATTCCTGCTTTTATCATATGTTAGTGTTATTTTAGGTTTTATGTGTTACTTGGTATGATTTGGTAGGTTATTTTTTGGGCCTGGGAATGCTCAAAAACTTTTCCCATATAAACTAATGGCAATTGCTTTTTCACTTTATATCATTTCAGTTTACGAAAGTTTTCACAGGAACGCTCTGCTTTTGGATATCAAGGGAAACCTGTACTGGACAAAGAGCATTAACAATTTTGCAAAAGACTCTGTGGACTAGACACGTCAAGTAAGAACCCAGAGCCTCTTCAAAGGAAAAACCCCCATCCACAGCCACTGCTGAGGGAGCAGCCCTGGGCAGCCATGGTTTGCACCATGTGGCCCTGCCTCTCGCTCCTGCAGCCACGCTGATGAGGCCGCAGGCCAGCAGTCCAGAGGCTGACCAGTAAACTGAGGTGTGATCTGGGTTGAAAAACAACACCCTTCCTTGGGAATGTGAACTGAGAAATGTCAGGACAAGAAGTGGGAGATGAGCTGAAAGGATATCATGAGGTATAGGAGTGGGCACGAGGCTCAGGGGAGCTGAAGTTACCAGGAAGCAGAGCCTGCGAGGATGCAGAAGCCACGAGGTAGAGCAAAGGATATGATAGGCACCAGAACAAGAAACAGGCAGGGGGAAGACAGCTCAGCCACATCACTGGTGAGGCACTAAGAAGTCCTGGCACTGAAGTCCCTCGATTCACCTAGCAGCACCCTTGGGCTTCAATCTGCACGCAGGCCAGCCTTGTTTATTCAGGATTTCCATAAGAATCTAACCCTCTCAAGCTTTGTGTGAACCCCTATCCAAATTCCCAGCAGGCTTGGAGAGCCTTGAGTGTCAATGAGAGCTTACTGAAGTAACTGCCAGTGGAGTCTAACCCTAATGGGAGCGACGTGTTCCTGGCAGGGGGCCCACCGATGAAAAGCACCTTGGGAATATCTTGGGAATATTGACGGGTTGGTTAATGGCTGAGGAGCTTTTATGCTCACTACTATTTGTAATTGTTTAATATTTAATTTAGTAAAGTCATAATAAACAAAACTTTAAAAATTGAATTTAAGCATTTAAATATTGAGCAGTTTCAACTACAATTTCAGATGTAGTTTGATTTGTTTGAAAAGCTCAAACACTGTAGACAACATATACAAACATCCTGATTCCAAAGTTATTACAACATTTAAACTTATCCTAAAACAGCAACAACACAGTGTGATTAGTATTTTCATTTTCCGTACCTTCCTAGGATTATAACAAAGTACCTCTGGTGGCACAATTGTTTAGTGCTCAGTTGCTAACTGAAAGGTTGGTAGTTTGAACCCACCAGCTGCTCCACAGGAGAAAAGATCTAATGATCTGCTCCCGTAAAGATTTCGGCTTAGGAAAACCTACAGTGCAGTTCTACTCTGTCCTATAGGGTCGCTATGAGTCGCAATCAACTTGATGGCACACAACAGGATTGTAACATTACCTTTAGCTAATATATTTATTTAGCACACTATTCTAAATATTTTATATGTTTTGTCCTATTTAAGCCTCATAATAACTGTATGAAACATATTTTTATTATTCCAATTTTAAAGACGGGCAAACTGAGGCAGTGGTTAAGAAACTTCCTAAGGTCATACGGGTAGGAAGAGACACAGCTAGAATGTGATCTCCGACAGTCTAGCTCCAGAGCTTGTACTGCTAGTGACTACATTCTACTGTATCTCTCAGTACTAATTCTCACATTTTTCTAGGGCCAGAGAGTAATATTTTGATACCCTCCTGGGGATGCAAGAGTCTTAACAGACCAAAAAGGAAAAGAATATTGTCTCAGACCAGCACAGGTTGCTGACTCTGGTTATCAACCGATGATACATGTTTGTTTCCATTTGTGAATATATCACTCTCGGCCTCCTCCCTGTAAGACTCAACCCCAATCTCTCCTCCTCAGGGTGAGCTTCTTTTTTCTCAGTTATGTTAAATTTGTTTTCTAGTAAGTTTTTTATTTTGTTGTTTTAAAGTTTGAGCCTTTCACATAGGTTCTGGTTTTTGCAAACTGGTGTTCCCTCTCCAGGTAGTATTTTTTTAAAGCATTGCCTGGCCAGTGTTACGTAACCCATTGTCCGGTAAACATATACTGACCTGGTCTTCTGGCATTTCTGAGAACTTCACTGTGTCTCATGAGTATTTTGTAATGAATGAGGCCACCTGGAGGACTCAGCTCCCAGCGGTTTGTTATTGTTAGTTGCCATCGAGGCGACTGCAACCCATGGCCACCCACGTGTGCAGCATAGAACTACTCCGTAGGGTTTTCAAGGCTGTGATCTTTTGGAAGCAGAACACCAGGCCTTACTTCTGAGGTACCTCTGGGTGGGTTTGAACCACCAACCTTTCAGTGAGTAGCCCAGCGCTTAACCATGTGTGCCACCCAGGGACTCCTAGCGGCCACACGTTTAACAAGCAGGTAGAAAGAAAAATGTGTGCTTCTTGACAATAAACCAACACAACTCCTGGTTGGTATGTGTGGCCCCAGTGCTGATTAGTCCGTCCTGTTGTAGGTTTGTAGTTCCTATTTCTGGGATTACTTGGCTTATCTCCATTCCCTGGGTTTCTTTTTTCATAAACCAATGGCTATATATACTTTATGAATAGTCATATAATAGAAAAAAAAAGTACTCATTTACACAACTAAAAGCTTAAGCATTGCTCTCTTTTGTATACTTTATACTAATTTTTCTCTTTTGAGTATCATTATGAAACTCATGGTCTCAAAATTCAAATCATTTCATTTAGTGATAATAATTTATAACTTATACAATTCAGGCAGTGGGAACCTTCTTAGAAAGTCATCCTGATTTTTCTATCCAAAGATGTGGAATCCGCTCAAATTCTAATGCCCTAAACTGTTCTCATCGTCCTTCCCTCCAAACCTGCTTCTCTGTTGCTCATCTCCGTGAATGGTACCATTATCCACAGTCGTTCAGATCAGTGACCTAGCAGTCATTCTTGCCTGACCCATCACCTTCAACTTCCACTTCCAGTCAGTTGCCAAACACTGTCTGTTCTTAATATCCCCACAGTAGTTCCCTTCTCTCCATTTCTGCTGCCACAACTTTAGTTCAGTTGTTGGCCATTTCTTGTTTAATGTTAACAGCCTGCTAATTGGTCTCCTCACCTCCATTCTCACCCTCCTCCAAGCCCATTCTACCACAGCTATCCAGAGTGCTGTGGCTGCCTATTCAGGGGTCCCCAAGATTGTACCCACATTCAGAGTTTGCTAGAAGGACTCGGGACTCAGCCTATAGTTGTGATCATGGCTGAGATTCATTACAGCAATACTGTACAGACACACAGACAGATCATAAAGGAAAGACAGTGGGATCTGACGGAATAAATGGGAGGCTTCCTTATGCTCTCTCGCTCCCACGAGGGGCCACACAGAGCACACTCCTCCCACAGCAAGGAAAATACAGCAGCACATGTGCAATGCTGCTGCCCAGGGAAGCCCATTAGAGACTCAGCACCCGGGGTTTTGTTGGAGGCTGGTCTCGTAGGCACCCTCTGCCTAGCACACACCAAAATTCCAGAGCCCGGAGGGAAAGCAGGCGTTCAGCATAAGCCATAGTGCTTGCAGGCTGGGCACAGGGGGCCACCCTTATCTCTTAGGGAACAGTGGGAACCCTGCAGAAATCTAAGATCCCGGATGCCAGCCAAGGGCCCAGCTTGTGAGCAGGCCTCTCTAAGGATGGCAGGTTTAGGCCTGCCACGTTAACTCTCCTCTGCACTGCCATTCTTCCCTCCCTGTCAGTCCTCCTGGACACCACAGTAAGTACATACTCTTGTAAAAAAAAAAAAAAAAAAAATCAGAGAATGTGAAGAATTGTAAGAAATACAATAAAAATCACTTGTAATGCCACCACTCAGATTCCATTTACATTTTAGGATCTATATTCTTCCAGTCTTTTTTCTCTACACACGTGCACAGACATGTAATTTAAAAAGATTATACATTCTTCATATTCTGTGAATTATTCTTCCCCTCAGGTTTTTTTTTAGGAAACAAAACATTACAAAGTTGAAGTCTTCTGGGTATCCTCCTCCAATCCTATTCCTCTTCCTTTCCAGCCAAAAACAAACAGAAAAAAACCAAACCCACTGCCGTCAAATTGATTCCAACTCAGAGTGACCCTACAGAACAGAGCAGAACTGCCCCAAAGGGTTTCCAAGGCTGTAATCTTTACAGCACACTGCCACATCTTCTCCCATGGAGTGACTGGTGGGTTCGAACCACTGACCTTTTGGTTAGCAGCTGAGTGCTTTAACCACTGTGCCACCAGGGCTCCCTTCCTTCCCAAAGATACCCACAATTTGGTGCTTTATTGTCCTACATAGATGGTTGCAAATTTTTTGCAGGTATTACCTGTTTTAAAGTTTCATGTAAATATTATACAGTAAGTTATTCTATAACTTTCTTACTTTTTTGCTCAATAATTATGTTTTTGCAAACTATCTCTGTTATTAACACAACGTTTAGGATATATGTATCACAGTTTACTCATTATCCTCTTGATGAATGTTTAAGTTGCTTGCAGGTTTTCACTAGTGAGCTTCTCCCCTGTGGTCTGCAATGCCACCTCAGGGATACATCAAGCTTCCCTCAGCATTTGGATATGCTCTGGGGTTTTCTATTCTAGTCTACTGGTCTATTTTCTATGTGGCTATCTTTGAATGATAATAAATCATTTTAGCATAGAGGTTAAAAGCTGCCAGACAGCCCTGGCTTTAAATTCTACCTCATCCTCTTACAACGTAAGTTATTTAAGCTTTCTAAGCCTGTATTTCCTACTGTGTAAAATAGTACTTACCTTATTGTGTTCTGAAAATGGTATTAAATTATCCTTATAAAAAGCACTTAGCCTCTTCTATAGGCATGGGATCACTGAAGGGTTTAAGCATGAAGTGTCATCATCAGATTTGCATTTTAGAAAGATCATTGCCACTTGTACCAAGGGCCTTAAAAATATACACACTCTGACCCAGCAATTCTCTCCTGGGAATTTAGCCTTATAAAAAGCATTCAGCACAGTGCCTGGTAAACAGCAAATGCTCAGCGAATGCTAGTGGTTATTAATGTGATGTTTAATGGCTGCGTGATATTCCACTGTACAGATGGACCATACATAACTTAACCAAATCTATTTTTGAAGTTCAATATATCTCTGATTTTTTGTATTACTGTAAGGGTTAAATGAGATAGTATATGTAAAGTGCTAGGAAGTTGCCTGACACACAGTTAGCAGTCAGTAAAGGTTAGTGTTAATAAATGACTCATAAGAAGCTTTGCATATGTTCTTAATTATTTCCTTAGGATAAATTTGTAGGACAGAATTGCTGGGTGAAACAGTACGTATATTTTTAAGGCCATTGGTACAAGCAGCAACGATCTTTCCAAAATGCAAATCTGATGATGACGCTTCCACGCTGAAATCCTTCAGTGATCCCATGCCTGTAACAGGCCCTACAAACTCCCCTGATGTGCTGGCCCCGCCTACTCCTCCAACCTCAGCTTTGCCCAAGGCACTCCTCACTGCCTAGGCTTCTGCTGTGCTGAACTAATTCAACTGTGAAACCTTTCCACACCAAGACCTGCCTCCTTATCTTTGCACCTGAGGTGATTTTGGTTTGTTTGCTGAGAATGTTCCACCTCCTCCCCTAAACTTATTTTAAATCCCACTCCCGCTAAGAAACCTTCCGCAATTCCTCCCTCCCTCCCGCAGGGGGTTACGTGCACGTGTCGTGTGCTCCCATAGCTGGCTGTGCATCTCTCTTTTGTAGCACTTACCCGTCCTGTGTTGAAATACTATTTCGTTTACTTGTTTGTCCTGTTTGCTAGACTATAAGCTTCTTGAGGACAGGGACAGTATGTCCCCAACTCTTCGTACAGAGCTTAGTATAAAACAAAAAAATCGTCGTCAATTCCGACTCACAGCGACCCTATAGGACAGAGTAGAATTGCTCCATAGGGTTTCCAAGGAGCAGCTAGTAGATTCGAACTGCTGACCTTTTGGTTAGCAGCCGTAGCTCTCTGTAGCTCTTAACCAGTGTGCCACCAGGGCTCCTTGGTATAAATAGTTGGTGCTAAATAAACGTTGGTTGACTAGATGGACAAATGAATAACAAGGAACAGTGAACATATTCCCTTGACTGCAGTACCTGGTACATGCTAGGCAGTGCGGAGCGTAAAGTCAACAGAACAGAAAGGTCTCTATCTCCAGGACCTTACGTTGGTGTCCTACATCCTCTTTCACTATTGTTTCCTTTCAGAATTTGCTCCCTGCGCTACCCAGTCTCTCTTTCTTGAGCACCTTCTATCTCTCAAAAAGCTCCTTCCTACATCTTCAAACACACACGTCTCCTCTATGTGAAACTATCTTTACTGAATCCCGTGGCCTCCCTCTGGCAAAAAAAAAAAAAGGTCTATTTTGGGTTTTCCTTTCATTACCAAACTTCTTGGATGAGTAATATACACCTGTTGTTGTTAGGTGCCATCAAGTTGATTCCAACTCAGAGAAACCCCATGTGACAGAGGAGACTGTCCATAGGGCTTCACAGGCTGTAAGCTTTATGGGAGCAGACTGCCAGGTCTTTTCTCCCAGCGTTGCTGCCAACCTTTGGGTTAGTAGTCAAATGCTTAACAGCTATGCTGCCAGGTGTCCCTTCATACCTACTGATGCCATCTATGACCACCACCTATTCTCAAATTCCTGATATTCTGCTTGTGCCACCTCTCATACACCTGGGACTACTCTGATCCCAGTGGCCCTTTCTCCTTATTTTTACTTCCCTGCAGTATTTAATTGTTTTGACCAATTTCTGCTTCTTCAGTTACTGCAGCTGCTGTGACACGACACTAACCTTTCTTCCTGTCACTGAAACTGCTCTGTGACTTCTTCCCACTCTTTCCCTGGAAACATGGATGCTACCCAAGACTCAGTGTTTGCCCAACGTTCTTCTGATTTCTCTCTGGAAGTTCATCCACTGGGACTCCATCTTTCACCTTGATGGAGATGGTTCCCGATCTAGTCCCAAACCTTCCTCCAAACTCATCTTGCATTTCCAAATGACTGTAAATTTTGAATTATGAATTCTGCCATCACCTCAAAACCATCTTCCCCCATGCGACTCCCATCAACTCCTCTCCCTGGGTTTACACTTCTGTGTTTTACTACTCTCCCAGTTGCCCAGAACTTGAACTTCTTACCTCACTTTCTTTCCTCTCAAATTTAGTCAGTCACCAGGTCCTTTGACTCTTTACAGTGTCATTTGTATCCTTCCCTACCACTAACACCATTACAATTTAGGTCCCCAGCAGCCAGCTTCAAGATTTTGTTGCTGTGTGCTGTGAGTGGATTCCGGACTCCGATTCATGGCAACCCTGTATGACAGAGAGAACTGCCCCATAGGGTTTCCTAGGCTGTAATCTTTACAGAAGTAGATGGCCAGGTCTGTTCTCCCACGAGCTGGAGCTGCTGGTGGACTGGATACTCCGACCTTTTGGTAAGTAGCCGAGTGCTTAACCGTTCTGTCACCAGAGCTCCTGGCTTCAAGATGACTACGACAGACTCCTAACTGGCTCCCAGCTACTAGTCCCTTCTCCTCCCCAGTCCTGGCTGTGACTCTAGAAAATAACTGTCCTAAAATAATTTTATTTGGGTCAGTCCCCTGCACCAGACCCATCCAACCCACTCTACCTACTGGGTCTTGCTTGTCCTGGCCTGTTACTTTTCTCCATCCTTTTCTCCCACTATCCCTGGATGTTTCACTCCAAGTAAGCATCTCCCTCAAATCTGCCTAACGCTTAGCCACTTCTGTTTGGTCTTTTTTTTATCTCCCCCACATCAGATCCTACCTCTTCCATGAAGCTTCCCTGATCACTCATACAGTGGCCCAAGGCAGGGAGAGAAACAGGCGATCTGAGGCGCTTTCTGGAAAAGAGAGAGGCGCTGGAGTGGACGGCACCCTGGAGTCAGAGTGTCAATTCCACCAGTGGGTAACAGCTCGGCGGCTAAAGGTTGGCAGTTCGAATCCAGAAGCAGCTCCTTGTAAACCCTATGGGGCAGTTCTACTCTGTCCTACAGGGCCGCTATGAGTCAGAATTGACTCGACGGCAACGGGTTTGGTTTGGTATTTTTATGGGAAGAACAGGAGGAGTGGAGGAGGACGCCAACCTCCAGCCTGAAAGTACGGTATGTGACACATAGTGGGGTGCACGCTGTAAGACCACTACAACAGTGCCCACACCCCACGAGACACGCACACCCGGGCCAGAATTTCCCGTTTCCACCTCTTGGAGTCGGGACGTCCCTACACACACGCTCTGCAGACCGATTCCGCCCGCGTCACCCTGTTCTTCTCCTACAGCACCCCCAAGACCTCAGTGACCCCCACGCTCGGCCGCTCTGCTCACTCCGCTCTCTAAGACACACCTGCAGCCCTCACCTCGAGCGCGGAGTGCCCGGGACCCAGGAAGACGGCGCCTTCAAGTCGGGAAAGCAGTGCGCCTGCGCAGAGGTTCTGGCGCGTACACCCAATCAAAGTGCGACTATCGCAGGGACTTCACTTCCCAGAAGTCTCAGCGGCCCGCGCGCTTTACTATGACGTATGAAAACCTGCGCAAGCGTAGCTCCTGAAAGTCTGGTGGTGCTGAACAGGCTCCAAGAGGGCAGTGGGGCCGCCTTTGCGGGGTAGGGAGAACAGTCGAGGGTGCCTGGAGTTTGGGCCAGCCTGGAAGCGTTGTCCACGTAAGAGGCCGCGTCCCTCCAGCTCTCCGATGCTAAGAACCTTCTGCGAAGGAAGAAAATGTGTCTCTGATCCTTGCGGCCTGTCACTAGCGCTGGTTTTCACCTCAGTGAGTCTCGCCCTGTACTTCTTGCGCTCGGAAGGGAACTTGTTTCCGTTTCAGCTTCTCCTCTTTCGGGAATTTGGCAATGAAATTTGGGCCGGAGAGTCTTGCTGCGGCCTGAGGCAACGTCAGTGCACAAAGTTAGAACCACTGGGGTAGGCCTTCAGAGAAGACTGGAGATTACGCAGAAAATACGACAAAATTCTACTTCAGGAACAAGTCTGCACTTCCATTCAAAAAACTTAAGTCGCCTACCATAGAGGAGGCACAAATATGAAAAAGACACAGTTACTGCCCCAAACCAACTCATAGTTCAAAGGAAAACATCAGAATGAAAAATTATTACAACACAATGCGGTGTGCTTCATGATGACATCACGTCCGAAACACTGGGAGTCCAGGGAGGAAACACCTTTGGCTGGGAAAGTGGAGAAGGCTTCCTGTGATTGGTATACTTGATGCATGTGAGTAATCACTCATAAGAAGAAAGAAAAGGGCAATTTAGGCAGAGAGAATAGCGCATACAAAGATACAGGCTGGAGGATAAAAGTGCAAAGAATTAGTAGCGAGAAGAGCGGCTGGTGGATAGGTTTTAGGGGCTGATATCAGTACCTTGGTGCCAGATTGCAGCAGGGTTTGTGCTATGCTAAGGGTTTCGGACCTCGTTGGAAAATTAGACTTGACTAAAGGCATGACCTACCACCTGTCAGTTGGTCATACTGTGGTGGCTTTCATGTTGCTATGATGCTGGAAGCTACGCTGCCAGTATTTTGAATTCTAGCAGGGTCACCCATGGATGAGTTTCAGCGGAGCTTCCAGAGTAAGACAGGCTAGGAAGAAAGGCCTGGCAATCTAATTCTAAATATTAGCCAACTAAAACAACAGAATGTTGTTTGATATAGTGCTGGAAGATGAGCCTCTAGGTTGGAAGGCATTACAATAGCCACAGAAATGGACTGAAACATACCAACAATCATGAAGATGGTGTGGGACCAGCCAGCGTTTCATTCTGTTGTACATGGGGTCGCTATGAGTTGGAGCTGACTCAAGGGCAACTTACAACAAAGTCATGACCCACCAGACAGATGTGTTTTCTGGCTGTTTCATTCCATGTAGTGGTTTTTATTTGTCATTTAGCCTTATGCTGAGAGTGGATACTTTGGGGACCTAGGAGGATTTTCTTCTAGAATTCCCCACCCTTGAGCAGACCCTCAGCTTCATCTCTATTCTTAGTTCCTTAGGTAACTTTCAAAGTGGAAGCTTAAGTTCTTCAGGGTTTGGCAGGGTGAAAGTCAGGTTTGCTGCTCGCGTACCTCCCACGGTTCTGGCGCTCATTTCATTAAAAAAAAAATATATACATTCCTCACTTCATGCCTGATCCCGGTGTATTTATAGAGATGTTGCATATTTTTTCAGCATTTTTAGTTAGGGTTGTTAAGAGTATCTAACCCACCATGTTACCAGAACAATTAAGAGAATTTTAGCTGACTTTCTCAAAAGAGTTAGGAAGAGCATGTGGGTGTTAAACAGCTGAGAAACAACAGACATCCGTCTTGTTTGGAATGAAACAGTCTCCTAGGTTAACCAGCTCATGGGCTCCGCCAGACTACAGGATGGTACGGCTATCTGTGGCTGAGCAACAACCACTCCAACTGAGTTGTTCTCTCTCCCTTAGTCTCTCTAGGAAGAAAGCCTCTTCCCTTATATCGTGTGGCCTTTTTAGAGGTGACACCCTAGCAGAGCGGCAGCGGGCCTGTAAAAGGGTAATAGCGTCAGAACTTGTCTAACTTCGGAGAGGATAATGAGAATCCCGATCAGCCCAAGGCCAGTCCCTTTGAGGTGGACGTCAGACATATCTCCACTCTGCAACCTTTTTACCAATCCTGACACCAACCATCCCTCCCATGGCACTCTCTACTAAGGGGTTCAATAATCCATTGCAATGGCCACACAGAACTTACAGACCACATTTACAGTTAAGTAACAGGGTACAACTTGGGATCAGGATCAATAGGCTACAACTCAGGATCAGGGTCAGGAAGCACATAGGCAAAGTCTCCTTTCTTCAGTGCAGGACAGCTCTCTCAGCTCCTCTAGGCCACACAGGCCTCCTCTCAGCCCCCGAGGACAGGCTCCTTTCGGCTCCCTCAGCACAGGCTCCTCTTGGCCCTGACATCTGTCACCACTGGCTCTGCCACTGGGCACCTTCTGCATCTCTCACAGTCTTCAATGTTACAGCTCTTGACCCGCGTTACAGCTCTTTTAGGAGGTTCCTTGCTTCTCTTCTTTCTCCTTCTGCTTCCTTCTGCTGCTTCTCTTCCTGCTTCTTTCTGTCTGAAAAACGTCTATGGGATTGGCTGCATATACACTCACTCCTCACTTATTAATGTAATTAGGTTCCAAAGGCTGGGTCGTTATGTGAAAATAGACATTATGCAAAAATGGAGGATGATCACATCAGATTATGAAATGGATGACCATACCATTACATAACTGCCAAACCAATGAGAATCATGGCCCAGACAAGTTGACATACAACCTTAACCATCATAGCCAGCGTTACTCTCACCTTGCACCTGGGCATCATTACTGCCAGGCATATGTCATTAATGTGCAAATAATCAGATCATAGATTTTTTACTATTGCCATAAGTGCAAAATGCCAGTTAATGAGATAGTTGATAAGTGAGTGTATACACAACTTGTCAATTTCAAGGCATGGCCCCTCCTAGCGGGCGGGGGGCACAAACTGACCAATCCTCTGTCTATACGCTACAGAGTCTTACACTTCATTCGCATAGTGGGCTATAATCACCTCATTGGCACAGTCCCTAGTCACTTTATTTGCACAGTATATTGACCAATCCCTGCAAGGTGCATGCCAATAACAGGGCAGACTGCAGGCCAGGACCAGGCAAAAAGTATCAAATCACAGTTGTTTACAGCTTACCCAGGAAATGTCAACCAACTGGACAAAAGTAACAAACCCTCTGGGTTAGAAAACTAGGGCGAAGGTAACACCACAGGGTTTAGGGGAAAAATCTCAAGCTGTTTTTCCAACGAACCAAGACAGAAGGCCACATAAAGGAACTCGTTTCACCACAGCACCCTTAGTGATAAGTGTTTTCAGTTTTGCCACTTAGTCTTTAGGGGAGGGGATGGTTGGCCCTAGCAAAAGGATTTGGGTTCTTAGTGGTAATGTTCTTTATTTTCTGCTACCAGCTATCTTTCCTGGGGTGCACATGTATCATCAGGAAGCTGAGTGTGTCGGGTGGAAGAGCAATATTGAGGCACAATGTCACACTATAACTGGAAAACAGTGCTGCTTCTGAAACCTAGGCCTGATACCAAGTCAGACTGGCTCTTCTATGTTTTTGTTTGTTTAATCTCTTTTTGCAAAATGGCTGCCATTGGGACATCTTCAGGCCACAAGAAATCACTGTATATGCCTGAGCCCTAATTGTGATCCAGTGCTTGTTTTGGCATAGAGCTCCCGGGACCAGGAAAATCAGAGGTTGTCTGTGGTGATGCTCTAACACCCCACGTTAGTTAAGGAGGCTCTGTCTGCCAGAGCAGAGCCCTGGTTGCACAGTGGTTAAGCACTTGACTGCTAAACAAAACGTTGGCAGTTCGAGCCCACCAGCTACTTAGTGGGGGAAAATGTGGCAGTCTGCTTCCATAAAGATTGACAGCCTTGGAAACCATGTGGGACAGTTCTACTCTGTCCTATAGAGTCGCTATGAGTAGGGATTGACTCGACAGCCATGGATTCGGTTTGGTCTGCCAGAGCACACAGAGGGCTCTAGGAGTCTGTATTCCAGTTCTACCCTACACAAACACCAGCCAATTGTTCACTTTTTTGTTTTTTATAACTGGTTCTTAAAGTTCCTTTAGCTTGAGTAAGCTGTCTCCTTCAGGCTAATTTGATTTACGGAGAAGTTCTTGCTATTCTGTTTGCTTTTCCTCTGGATGAACTACAGTTATCAATATTGTTCTTAAAATCTGATGTCTCCATTATCCTTTCTCTCTGTCTTCTGTGGTGTTAGAATTTTTAGTGAGGCACAAGAATAAAAGTTACCTTTCTGCAGCTGGAGTCCCTGGGTGGTGCAAACGGTTAACATGCTCAGCTACTGACCAAAAGGTTGGCAATTTGAGTCCACCCAAAGGCACCTTGGAAGAAAGGCCTGGTACTCTACTTCTGAAAAAATCAGCTGTTAACCCTATGAGCACAGTTCTACACTGACACACAGGGGTCCCAGGAGTCAGAATCAATTCGACAGCGACTGGAACTGGTACTGGTTCAGATTCCTTGCATCAAGGTGTAGCCATGTGTTCTGGTAAATGGGACGGCAGTGTATGTGTTGCATAGCACTTTCTGGGAACCTTCCTTGAAAGACAGCTGGGCTCAGAATGAAAAGGAATGAACTATTGACACGCAGTAATATGCACAGATCTCAAGGGCATTAAGCTGAGTGAAAGAAGCCAGTCTCAAAAGGTTACATACTATCTTATTTATATGACATTCTGGAAAAGGCAAAACTACGACAGTGGTTACAGGGTTAGCGTAGGAGAAGGGTTTGACTACAAAGGAATAGCAAAAAGGAATTTTGGGGGATGATGGGAAAGCCCATCAGGCTGGTGTGGACTGGAACTCCCCCTAAGAGTATTTTGAGATCAAATGGCACACTAGAGCACTCTGACATCCTTGTTAAGCTATTAACTTCCTCTCCTGGATAACAAATGTGCATTGTAAATAAGAGCCTTTGGATCAAAATCTGTCCTAAAGGACCACATGTAAGATAGGGAATTTCAGACACTATAGCAGGCCAATGGGAAAGGATCAGGGACAGGCAGTGCCCCTCAAGTTCATCTGCAGTGTGATGAATTACTTAGTGTGGCCTTTCTCGCCATGGTCTTGTGACTCCCAGCCAGGTGACTGGGCGGGGCTCTGCAAATAAGATAACTGTGGCCAACCGAGCGGATTGGTCAGTTAGGCCTTAAGGAGAGCCAATTCCAGAGCAGAGAGATGAGCTCACCACCACAAGGAAGGAGAGACCAGCAGGAGAGACCTGGCAGCACGAGACAGTGCAGTGGGCTTCCCAGCCCACAGAGAGAAAAAGCTGAGTGCCTTTGGGCAGAGACTGAGGGCCAAGGAGAGGCATGCCTGTGAGCATGGCTGGGAAGAGGCTGTCCTGATGGAAGAACTGTATCCTGAGTGCTCCCGAGCCTGAACTGTAACAGTTACTTCCCTAATAAACCCCATAATTGTGAGTATGGCCTGTGAGTTCTGTGTGGCCATTGCAATAATTTACAGAACCCAGTAGAGAGTGCTGTGTGAGGGACGGTTGGTGTCAGAATTAGTAAAGATGACAGAGAGAGGAGGCTCGTCTGGCCTCCACCTCATGGGAGTCAGCCTTGCACTGTTGATCTTGATTCTCCTCCCCCTTGAGGCTGGAGATCTGACACGGGCTCATGTTGTTTTTACCTCATCTGAAGCAGTCCCACCTCTATCTAGATCTCATACTGAGCCATCAGTGAGATAAAAATCCTTCCTCATTTGTCCACCCCCTGACATTTTTGGCTCCAGAGCACAGGATACCTGAACAGAAACGTCTGTGTCAGCCATGGCAGTCAGGCAGCGCCACTGCTTGGGAGGAAAAGGGACGCTTGCTGGGGACTATCTGTGCCAGTAAGTGCTGGCAGACAAGCAGAACCGAGATTGACAAAAACAAGAGGGGAATGGCCTTTTCACCCTGATTTTATGGGTTATTTGCTCCTGAATCCTTAAATAGGGGGGATAAACCCTCCTCTCAGTCCTCAGGAGTCTCCCCTCTCAAAGGACTGACTTCAGAGAACCACCGTTTAAATATTCAAACCGTTTCTCCGTTTCTTTCGGGTCCTAAACGACATTGTTTCTGGACCAGGAGGGAGTCCAAACTCCTGCCTTTTTCTCTGCCACCCTTTGCGGACCGGAGCTGGGGCAGAGGGAGAAGTGTGGAGAAGCGCGACACAGCCTGCAGAGTGGCAGCTGGAATCTAGGATCAAGCCATCAGCATCTCCTGGGCACGGTGGAGGAAATATACACCCAAAAGAGCTCTGGGAAATCCTTATTCCACATCCAGAGTAGGGTACCCACTTTTTTCTTTTTCTTTTTTTTTTTTTTTGCCTTTTCTTGTCTTAAAAAAAACTTTAAAAAAATTTTTTATTGCACTTTAGGTGAAAGTTTACAGAACAAATTCGTTTCTTATTCAAAAGTTTATACACAGATTTTTTTGCGACATTGGTTGCAATCCCTGCAATGTGTCGGCACTCTCCCCCTTTCTACGGCGGGTTGCCGTTTCCATTCGTCTAGTTTTCCTGTCCCTTCCTGAGCTTCTGTCTTTAACAAATTCTAAGCGGCTTCTGTTGGGCAGCCCCAAACCGGGCTAGCCTCCAGAGAAAGGAAACGCACCCAGTTCCCGGCCCGCCAGTCGCGGGGACACAGCCGCTCGCAGCACACGTGGGGGCGCAGTGCCGACCAAACCCGGTCAGGGCGCAGGCGCGGCCAGCCCGTCAGGGCGGCCAGCCGGGCGGCGCTGCTAGCCACGCCCCGCGGGCGCGCTGCGGCTGCGCACTCGCACGGCTCGCGGCTGCGCATTCGCACGGCCCTCCCGGCGCGCCCGTGCCTGCGCAGGTGCAGGACAAGTCGTGGGAGGCGGCCACTGGGGGCGTAGCTTTCGGCTTTGTGGGTTCAGCGGCTCGCGGCGCGCGGAGTCTCTGTAGAGTGGGCTTGTCCTTCCGCCTGCGCGTTGGCGGTGGGCTGTGGAGCCTGTGGTTTCTTGTGAGGCTCCGACTGGTATCTGTCGTCTCGGGACAGAGGAGCGCTGCGTGTCCTGCGTGCGGGGTGCCCTTGCGTGCGGGTCTGCGGGGAGCAGGGCCGGCGGCAAACAAGGCCGGGCTTGTGGGGTTTGAGCGCGCCCCGAGCGGGCGGGGAGAAGCGGGCCTGGGTCTGACAGCCCTGCTCTGCGCCCCGAGGGGCTGCCGGGCGTGCTGCGCGCATAGGAATGCCCCGTGTCGCCCAGGCGGCCACAGCTCGCTCGCGGCTCTCCGGACACTCAGGAGGACCCCAGGGTCCCCGTGAAAGGACGTCGCCCATTAGCCGTAGCTATGGACCCCACAGCATCAGGTTTGGCTCCCAAGGGTGCAGAGGGCCAGAAGACCTCCCGGGGCGTTAGTACCGGCCGAGGAGGAGGAGGAGCCTAGGAAGAGGCAGGGAATCCCACTGAGGGGGCAGAGCCTGCAGCTGCCCTCCGTGTAGCGATTTCCTTCCAGGCCAAGGGGGATGAAGCCTCAGCATCCAGAGACCATGGCGGAGGCGGAGGGAATAGCCACGGAAGACTTGTCCCAAAAGCCAGAGGAGAGTGGGGACTGCCAAACTGCACATGGAGAGTGGGCAGGGCGGGAGAAGGCAAACAAACCCCCGGGGAGTGGCCCTTGACCAGGGATCAGAGGACCGTGGGCCATATGGAGCTTTGCCAGCCGCTTCCTTGATCATTAGGTACCGAGATTCTTCCAGCTCTCCTAGCTCGGTTTTGTACAAGGTCAACAGTGTACGAGATCAGTAACTACTGTGTTGGGGGCACCGGGTAATCCAGGTCACCCAGGAGGTTATAAACCATTCTAAGTGTATAATGCCTTGTCCTTTAGCAGTGGACGTTTTAATTCGAGTTTTCATTTCTCGGTGCACATGTCCAAGATTACAAAACTGGTAGAACTAATCCCTGGGCCTCCCATCCCTTCTTTTTTCCTCTCTGCCCTTGTTTCTCAGAGTGTGGTCCATGGACCAGCAGCATGGACATCACCTGGGAGCTCTTTAGAAATGCAGAATCTCAGGCCCTACCCTACACGCACTGAACCAGTCTACGTATTAACGAGATACTCGGGATTCATGCGCACATTAATGTTGGAGAAGTGCTGCCTGCCTGCCTCCGTGCTTTGTGGGCGTGTTTGTTAGCTTCAGTTCTCTGTGTGGTTGGAGTTAGTTTTAAGGCTTTTAAAACAGTCTAATACAAAGCCCTATAATACAGGGGCCCTAAAAATGTGCTGCAGAGACCTGTGTTTAGGAACACCAAGGACAGCTTCTCAGGAAGAGCTGGGTTCCCAAGTATGAGAGGAGAGATGTAACTGCTTCCCCCTCCGGCCTTGTATCTGCTCATGGTCTTGGTCTGTATCTCTTGGGCCCTTGTCTTATCCCCCTGACTACGTTTAGAGTTCCGTCGAAGTCTTCTCCATGTTTATATTTTGAAAAGGCCTTGTACAGGACATGCATATAGTGGGCCCAATAAATGCCTCTTCAATGGAGTCTCCAGGATGTAGTCACACTTTATTTACCTGTAACCTGCTGTGGGCCTATAGGCAGGTGGGGGCCTCATGCAGCTGTGTACAGGGCACTTCTCTCTGATATGGGCAGGCTAGAGGCTGCCTCCAGTGCCCTTTGACCCTCCAGCTCTGTCCCTGAAACTATGAGGGTGACACGCGAGATCTGTTTAGGAGTCGCCAGCTTGGGGAGTCCAAGGCTGTAAATATCTCCCTTATGGCTCCTCTTGCCTTTCCAGCTCTCCCTTCTCAGGACCCTGCTCTTCCTCCAGAGACACACCCAGGAGAAAAGGGAACAACCAGTTTATTCCTGAAAGCCAGGCCCCAGGTGAGTTAGGGTTTTCTGAATTTTTCCTCAGTTGCCTGAACTATGGATGTCTTTGCCTCCTTTTCTGCTTTGTCCACCAAAGGGCACTGACTCCACTCCCTGCCCCTCAGGAGGCTGTGCCCATCAGGTGGGGTGATGGCCGCCCTGCCCCTTGCCAGGGCCTTCTCCTCTTGATTCAGTATGCACTCACTCTGACCCTTCGGGCTTCTTCTGGCTTGTTTCTCTAATGGGCACTGTGGTGAGTACCAATCAGTGTGATAGGGCCTTTGAGGAACGTCACACCACAGTGAGGAGAGGACTCTGACACCCAGGATGCAGCCACCAATCACAGTAAAATCATGCATGGTCTGCAGGCAAATGAATAGCTCAGAGAGGCCTTTCCATCAAGGTTCAGGAAAAGGAGAGAATGACTTTGCTGGAGAGGTTGAGGAAGACTTGTGGAGAAGGGGGCTTAGGGAGCTCTGAGTGTATGGACAGGTGGGGGAGCCATTTGAGGCTGGGCCCCTGCTCAGATATTGTCTTCCTCGATTAGCAAGGAGACAGATTTAACTTCAGTACTTGCTGGCTGTGTCACCTTGGACAAGTCAGCTAATCCCTCTGAGCACTCACTTTGCCATCTGTAAAGTGAGGATGATAATGATGTTAATGATAATGGTGAAAATAAAAACAGCTATTTACTGAGAACCAAATATGTGCCAGGAGCTATTCTATGCAATTTACATATATTAACCCATTTAATCATTAAAATGTTCCCATAAGGTGGTTACTTTCATTATCCCCATTTTGAAGGATCATAACTAAAGCAGAGAGGTAAACTGAAAAAAAAAAAAAAAAAAAAAAAGCACAGAGAGATAAAGTAACTTGTCCATGGCTGTCTAGCTAGTAAGTAAGGGAGTCCAGTTTCAAACATAAGCTGCGTGGCTCTGACATCTTAACCACTCAATAACAGAATTACCTTGTATGGTTGTTGCAGTCTTCTGGGAATTGGTAATTGCTTAATCCTTGTTAGCCTCATTTGTGATGGGAATTGACTCCAGAGGTAGATTCAGGTTTGGCTGTAGTGGGCGGGATGTGGAGGGAGAACCAGATGGAGGGCCTGAGGAGTTTCCTAGCATACAAGATAGTGGCTTAGTGGGATTCTAGCTTGATGGTGGATATTTACATTTAATTTTCTAGCCAAAGGGGAAAACTCCTCCAATAAGGAATTATCCAAAATAATTGATAGAATCATTAAAGAGTTTAAAACTCCTTGACGTTGATGTACACTACACAGAGGTATATCAGAGAGCTTAGGCTAGTAATGCTGTGGTAACTACAGCCCCTAGATGGCAATGGCCCACAGCAACAAAGATTTCTTTCTTTAAGTTACAGGAACTGATAAAATGATTAGGCTTTGGGGAAAAGATTCATGCTAATCATACTCACAGAAGACTTATTGATTCATCATAGGCCATTTGATTTATTTTCACTGACCTGTGTGCTAGCATGCAGATAATGGGGGTATATTATTAGAAGCTTCAAATTATTTGATTTGGCTTTAGTAAAAATTGTCATTAAAATCAAAGGTCAGAAGTTTCAAAAGTATTTAATTAGATAGCTATCAATATAAGTGCATCTGAGGGTGTAAAGCATATTTGTCTATTTAATTGATTCTAATTAAATACAACTAAATTGAGACTAAAATCTTTATAATTGAGGAAATGGTTTCCTCATTTTATTCGCCTCCCTCACCTAAGCAGAATGTCTCTGTAGGCTTGATTCTTCTGGGACCCTGATTATACTTCCGAGCACCTTGATGCTGATAGGCACATAAGTGGGCATTGGATGGAATACCAAGTAGTATGGGTGATACAATCCCTGGACAGCTTAAGATATTTTTGAGGTGTCACAAACCAAAACTGGGCATTGAGATGACTAGGAACTCAGAATCCCCTCAGATGCCATCCATTTTTCTCCCCAGGGTCATCAGTATGTTTTCTGAGGATGCAGGAGCGTTTTATTATGTGTTTTAGGAACTGATAACATTCAAAGATGTGGCTGTGGACTTCACCTGGTGGGAGTGGGAGCAGCTGGACCCTACTCAGAAGGACCTGTACAGGGAGGTGATGCTGGAGAACTTCAGGAACCTGGCCTCCCTGGGTAAGCTCAGCTCCTCCAAAGATCAAAGCCTGCCTATCAGGCCATCTTTATTTCCTTGATGTTTAAAAACTAGGGGTTTCTGAGACTGCTGGCTGAGTTCTGGCCTGGGGTTCTGGAATCGGATATTTACATTCTCTTTGGGACCCAAATATACAGAATGTTTGCTCCTTGTTCCTAGGAAAAGTCCTACTCTTTAAGGAGTTGGAATGAGAAGTTTCATGACTCTGCTCCTGACATTTCACCACGTCTATTCTTTGGAGGCTCTCCGCATCTCCTGTGCTGCCCAACAATATTTCTCCACCTGAAGACCAAGAACCGAAGCCTTGGCCTCCAGCACGTGCAGCCACAAACCTTTTCTTTCTCTACCACCAGGGCTTCTGTTGTCCAAACCATATGTGATATGCCAGCTGGAGGAAGGGGAAGAGCCCTGTGTGTTGGAGAGAGAAATCTCAGCAGGAGCCCACTCAGGTGAGTGAGAGCTAAGTAGCAGGAGGGAGGACTTTCTGGAGCATGTGAGTTTGTCCCTGAAGAATGCACAAAGCCTTAGAGAAAAAGAGAGGAGGTGAGGAAGGGCGTGGACGTGGGAAGACAGGGAGGCAGCCAGCTTAACTGTGGGAAAGGCACTTGCTGAAGAAGAGTTGGACAGGATACTGGTTAAGTACAGTAGGACAAGAGTAAGACATTCAGGCTTATCCTGTAGGCACTGGAGAGCTTTTGGAGGATTAAGAGTTGTCTTAGCTATTTAGTGCTGCTATAACAGAAATACCACAAGTGGATGGCTTTAACAAACAAATTTATTCTCTCACAGTTTAAAAGGCTAGAAGTCCAAATTCAGGGCGGCAGCTCTAGGGGAAGGTTTTCTCTATCAGCTCTGGGGTAATGTCCTTGTCAGCAATCTTGCCCTGGTCTAAGAGGTTCTCAGCACAGAGACCCCAGGTCCAAAGGATGTGCTCCACTCCTGGGGGCTTCTTTCTTGGTGGTATGAGGTCCTTCTCCTCTCTGCTTGAATTTCCAAAAGAGATTGACTTAACATACAACCTAATCCTGTAGATTGAGTCCTGCCTGATTAACATAACTGCCTCTAATCCTGCCTCATTAACATCATAGAAGATAGGATTTACAACACATAGGGTTGTCACATCAGATCACAAAATGGAGGACAGCCATACAATACTGGGAATCATGGCCTAGCCAAGTTGACACATATTTTGGGGGGACACAATTCAATCCATGACAAGAGCTGAGGAGGAACACAAAGAAATGAGCATTTTAGGAAAATAAAAGTGATGACCTCTACCTCCGAGAGACCTGCGGTAGCAGGATTGGCTAGAAGTCTATTATAATTATTTAGCCTGAAAATATTGATGAAAATCTAAAGTCTATTCCCGGTTGATTCATAACCCTATGCTTTTCTGTTTCTCTTTATCACTGTCCTTTATATTTAGTCTGTTCACCATATCACCCTTCCTATTCTCCTTTCATCTTTACAGTCTGTAGACTTACCTTGTATACTAGAATACACAGTTTTCCTAATCTTCAGTCACGTGTTTATTATTCTCCAAAACCTCCTCCAGACATAAAACCATTCTTTTTTTTAAATTGTGATAAGTGTGTATGTCTATATGTATATGTAAAACAAAATATTTGCCATTGCAACATTTTTTTCTGGTACAATTCAGTTACATTAATTATGCTAATCATATTGGGCAACTATCACTACTATCCATTTCCAATTTTTCCTGTCACCCTTATCAGGAATTCAGTGTTAAGCAATGACTCCCTCTCTCCCCTTCCCTCTCACCCTGGTAATCACTAATAAACTTTGGTCTCTATACATTTGCCTATTCTAGATATTTCACATAAGTGGGATCATACAATATATGCTCTTTTGTGGCTGATTTATTTCACTCAGGATAATGTTTTCAAGATTCATCCATGTTGTGGTATGTATCAGGACTTCCTTTTTCTTTGTGGCAGAGTAATATTCCATTGTATCTATGTCCTAATGCCATTGTTGAAACAAACTGTATACTTCTTTTAGATATTATTTTAAAACCGAATTATCTTCCATCCATTACAGTAGTTTATTTCTTCTTCCTGGCACAGATTAACAGGTAATATTAAAATGTCTTTTGTTTTCCCCCCCAGACTGGGAGAGAAAGTCTAAGACCAAGGAATCACTTCCAAGTCAGGAAATCTCCAAAGAAGAATTATTCCAGGCAGCATCAGTGGAAAAACACATTAAAGATGAGCTCTGGTCCTCCAAACGGAAAACAACCTGTGGTTGGGATGACCAGTTAGAGATGCATCAGAAGAAACAGGAGAGACATCTGAAATACATGGCAGTCACTCAGAAATCTACTGCTACCCTTAAGGGAGATCATGAATGGAGTGAATTTGGGGCTTTAAGATCAGTACTTGCTACCAAACTCAGTGTTCCCATGGGAGAAGTATCCTATAAATGTGATGCAGAATTCAGACAGACTTCAGGGAGAAATAACTCTCAGAAAATCAATCCAGGGAAGAAATCTTGTAAATGTAATGAATGTGGGAAGTCCTTCCATTTCCAGTCAGAACTTAAGCGCCATCAGAGATGTCACACTGGAGAAAAGCCCTATGAATGCAATGAATGTGGAAGAGCCTTTGGTCATATTTCGTCCCTTATTAAACATCAGAGAACTCATACTGGAGAAAAGCCCTATGAATGCAGTGAGTGTGGGAGATCCTTCAGCCAGAGTTCATCTCTTGTTCTACATTATAGATTTCATACTGGAGAGAAACCCTACAAATGTAATGAATGTGGAAGAGCTTTTGGTCATACTTCATCTCTTATTAAACATCAGAGAACTCATACTGGAGAAAAACCCTATGAATGCAGGGAATGTGGGAGAACGTTCAGCCAGAGTTCATCTCTCATCGTACATTACAGATTTCATACTGGAGAGAAACCCTACAAATGCAATAAATGTGGGAGAGCCTTCAGCCAGAGTTCATCTCTCACTCAGCATTATAGATTTCATACTGGAGAGAAACCATACACATGTAATGAATGTGGACGAGCCTTTGCTCATACTGCATCTCTTATCAAACATCAGAGAACTCATACTGGAGAAAAAACCCTAGGAATGCAGTGAAGGTAGAAAGACCTTTAGCTGGAGCACACATATCACCAAACATCAGAGAATTCACATTGGAGAGAAACTGTAACGTATGTGAGAAAATCTTTGCTTGGAGGACCCATCTTGTTTTCTATCAGACAGTACATCCTAGAGAAAAATGCTATCAATGTCATGAGAGAGGTGGACTTTCATTCACGCCTCTTCCCTTAACCAAACACCAGAGAATTCATGCTAATGAGAAACCATATGATTATTGTCTTAGTTATCTAAATGCTGCCATAACAGAAATACCACAAGTGGATGGCTTTAACAAAGAGAAATTTATTCTCTGACAGTCTAGTAGGCTAGAAGTCCAAATTCAGGGTGCCAGCTCCAGGGGAAGGCTTTCTCTCTCTGTTGGCCCAGGGGGAATGTCCTTGTCAAAAATCTTCCCCGGTCAAGGAGCTTCTCAGTGCAGGGACCCCGGGTCCAAAGGATGCAGTATTCTCCTGGCTCTTGTTTTTTGGTGGTATGAGTCCCCTGTCTCTGCTCGCTTCTTTTTATATCAAAGGAGATTGACTTAAGACACAATCTAATCTTGTGGTTTGAGTCCTGCTTCACTAACATAACTGTTTCTAATCCTACCTCATTAACATCATAGAGGTAAGATTTACAACACATAGGAAAATCCCATCAGGTGACTAAATGGTCAATAATCACATAATGCTGGGAATCATGGCCTAGCCAAGTTGACACACATTTTGGGGGGACATAATCCATAACACATATAATGAATGTGGAAAGGCTTCAGTCAGAGGACACCTTCCATATTCAACCTCAGTCAGTTTATACGGGGGAGCAGCCTTATGAATGTAGTCAGTATGGCAAAGGCTTCAGTCACATTAATGTTCCCTACCCCCACCAAAAAAATCAACTCATATTGGGGAGAAATCCTGCAAGTGTGGGAAATGTGGGAAAACCTTCAGAAATACTTATTTACTTACTAATTATCAGAACACATGAAGAAAACCCCTGTGAATGCAGTAAATGTGGAAAGACCTTCAGTCAGAGCTCATCCGTGCTCTGCATTAGAGCTGTCACACTGAAGAAAACCCTTATGGATGCAGTGGATATGGAACAGCCTTCAGTCAGATCTCATCCCTTATTAAACATGAGAAAATTCTTACTTGAGAAAAACACTGTGAGTGTGAGAGAGCCTTCATCTGAGCCTCATCCCTTTCTGAACATCAGAGAACTCACCCTCCTTGTTAGAAGCTCTGGGAATGTAATGCATGTGGGAAAATCTTTGATGGATATTCTGCCCTTTTTTTACATCAGAGAATTTGTATTTGAAGTCATCCTAACTTCAAAGTGAAACTTGGCAAACCCACTAGTATAATGCAGGCCTCGCATACATTAAGGCTCCACCCCAAAGAGAAACCCTGGGAGCTTAATGAATGTAAGGAAGGTTCCTTTCAGACTTGAAGTTCATAAAACTAGAGCTGAAAGGGACCTGAGAAATCATCTAGTCTGGTGATTTTCTACTGGGAGGGGGCTCTTTTTACAACTCACTGAGGCTCTGCTTCCCTATCCTGTTACTGATGGGGCAGAGGTGTGAGGGTGAAGAGAATGGAGGCTGAGAAAGGAAAGGCGGAGAGCCGTGAGTGATCTATTACAACCATATTTCAGAGCTGTGGAAACTGATCTTGAGAAAGTGCCATGCTCTGCCTACGTACCTCACTGAGCGGGGCCTCTTTCCCCCTGCTTCACAGCTATAATTTGGGATTGAGAAACTGAAGGCATTCCCTGTACAAAGCTCTCTATGCACTTGCTTCTCTAACACATGTTCTCCTTTTCGTCTGAGGTAATAGAGTGGTATAAATTTGAGCAAAACAAAAATTTGTTAGATACTCATGTTACTGGACTTAGAATTTGTGAAATGAAAACTTTTTTAAAATGTGCGTATTATTAATCAAAATCAATGCCTCAAAAACATTCTAAGTGAAAGAAGCCAAATGCAAGAGGCTACATATTGTAGGCTGCCATTTATATGTAATGTCCAGAAAAGGCAAATTTTCAGAGACCAAGTAGATTAGTGCTTGCCTGAGGCTGAGGATGGCAGCTGGAAGTGACTGCAAATGGCACAAAGAACCTTACTGGGGTGATGGCAGCGTTCTGAAACTGGATTATGGTGATGGTTGAACAATTTGGAAAATTATTTAAAAGTCAGTGAATTGCACACTGAAAATGATTGAATTTTATGGTATGTAAATTATACCTCAATAAAAGTGTTTTTAAAAAAATCAAATATCAAATATACCAACTATTGATAAACTACTTTTCCTATCTTGTATGTTACTTCAAGTCATCTGTGTGTCTTTGGTATCACTTTTTATTTTGCCTAATTGTTACCCCAAAGCTTACTGCATCTCAGAACCAAGTCCGGCTATTTTTTAAGTTCATACCATGTTAGCTCTGCAACTTACATGGAGACGCTAAGACCAGGGGCTGGCATAGACCTGAGAAGTCTTGACTAATAAATATTAGCTCATACTAGGACAAGACTTCAAATGTTTTAAGTCCAGTTGAGGAAACTGAGTCCAGGAATCAATTCATAAGTGTGTCCATGAAGACATGCTGGATCTAAGGATCCAAGAGGCCAGTGGAGGCAGAGGAAAGCAGGTAAGATGTGCAGGAGTCATCTGTGTCTGCAGTTGAGGCAACTGGATGGCTGAGATCAAGATCCCAGTCTAGAAGCTTAAAAGTCAGGGGCAGGAATAGCAAATATTTTACTTAGTAATGGCTTAGTTTACTCTTTCCTTTTTTCCCAGTGCTTTTCTCTCACCCACCAAAGTCACTTTATACCTGGACACTGCAATAGTTTTGTAGTGTTTTCACTTACTAAGCATCAGAGAACACAAACTGAAGACAAGCCCTATGAATGCAGTAAATGTGGGAAGGCCTTCAGTCAGCTCATCCTTGCTCTGCATGAGAGCTGTCACACTGGAGAAAATCCTTATGGGTGCTGTGGATGTGGGAAGGCCTTCAGTCAAACCCATCCCTTATTAACCATCAGAGAATTCATACTTGAGAAAAACCCTATGAATGTAGCAAATCTGCCCCTTCCTCTTGGGTATCTCTGCCATGTCTCACCACTTTCTTATCTCCTAAGCCAGAGTATGCGCTGCTTTAGTTCATGTCTCATACTTCCTCTCAGGAATGAGTACCTGGTACACAGTAGGTGCTCACTAATTGTGTTGAGTTGAAAAACAATTTGTGTTGGCCCAGGTTTTTCCAGTGATTCTTACAGACTCCACAATTTTGTACTAGAGGGAAAGCTTCCCTTCTAGAAAACTGCCAATTAAATATTTTCTTAGTTAGATTTGCTTCCTGTAATTATTTTTCAAATTCAAAGATAAGTTAGCATCGCTCTGTCTTTTGGGGATGGGTTGGTGTGTGTGTGTGTACAGAAATTCAGTGCTGTTTCATTTTGTAGCACACACTATGTAAATGCTTCTTCAATTATTCGTCAAATCACAAACATTAAGACTGTACTTTAGACACTCTTCAACTAATAACTGCAATATACCACCTTGCTTACCACTGACCAGAACTTTAGTCACAGAGCCATGGCTAATGGCAAGGGAGGCTGAGAAATATAGTCTTTATCCTGGACCCAGCTAAAATTTGAGGGTTCCACTACTAAGGAGGAGCCCTGGCAGTGCAGTGGTTAAGAGTGTGGCTGCTAAACAAAAGGTCAGCAGTTGGGAGTCAGACACTCCTTGGAAACCCTATGGGGCAGTTCTACTCTATCCTATAGGGTCGCTATGAGTCAGAATTGACTCGATGGCAACAGTTTACTACTAAGGAAGAAAGAAGAGGAGGATGGATATTGAGGAACAACCAAGAACCTGTGCCACAAGATTCAAACGCTCCAAAGCTATCTGTGTGCGAGGTCACATCCGTAATGCTCTCTGGGTCTCGTTTTCTTCTTTGCAAGATGAAGGGCTTTGTAGTTGTGGAAATAAACGAAGAAGACCTAAATGAGAAAAAGAAGGCTATTTTTTCAGAGCTTGCTATAATAAAGGAGTCAGGTACTATCACTTGTGTTTGGCAGAGACTCAAAGGCTGGCAGGGAGTGAGCAAGCTTTATAGTGAAATGAAAGGAAGCTTCAGGTATCCTTTGATTGGAGGTTGTTGGCATGGGAAAGCTTGGAGATGGGCTAACTAGAAGCAGGGCATCTTGTGATTGGTTTAGAGAAGACATTGGGCTTTCTCTGGTCCTGAATTGGAAGTGGAGTCAAAAAATAAGAGAATCTGGCAGTCATTGACTTAATCCCGGCCATTCAGAGCTGACTGCTGTAGAGGTTGTGGTTTTGGATTCCTAGACTGGTTGCTGCAAAGGTTGTGGTTTGGCTTTCTGTGCTGGTTACTGCAGAGGTTGTCGGTTAAATTTCTATGGTCATATATGGTGTAGCTATTATCTGTTGATATATTCAGTCTCCTAGTCTCCCCTTTTGGTTATTCTCTTGCTTATGCAAGGTTGACCAATTCAAGGAAAGCTAGAGATCCAGATCTTTGCTACATAGGGAAGATATTATGTCTCCATAGTAAACTATATTGCAAAATCTTAATCTTTTTGCTGTATCATCATGGCAATCATCTGATGAGAGAGCAGCTGCTCAGATGCATTTAAGTTACTGATGCTGCAACAGACCAACATCATGCCCACTATGACAAAAACAAGAACATATTAATAGTCATTGTAAAATGCTTTGAAACCAGAAACTCCAATTGCCCAACTCAGGACAAAAGACCAAATCCCATAGGCTATGATGATCAACCTTAGAGCCAAGTAGATTTTTCCTTAAGGCAATGTATAGTTTGTTCTACCTTGCCTGTTTCATTGATCCCAGTACAGCAAGAAATATTAGCGATGGCACAGATGCCACCAAGACCAGCAAACAAGTAATCAGAGCAATGTCATTGTCCATCACTACTTGTGCCAATGAGATGAGACTGATCCATATTCCATCCAGGCAGAGATGGTATTGTTAGTAACTTCTGGTAGACTTAGTGATAATTTTCATACTGTCTTTTTATTTGTATGATTCCCATCATTGGAAATACTGCTCTGTTAGCATAAACAATGAGCCAGCAATTCCCCAAGGTAGAGTGACTGAAAAATCCAAGGTGGCCTCGTTTTGGAGTTTGCACCTGCGTTGGAGCCTTGGTGACTTATATTTAAGATTTCTGATATAGACAAATCTCAGGATACTATTCCTAAACTTCCCAAGGTTT